TTGTAAAAGTTGCACCTCTCTTTCCTCCACGTGAGTCTCATGGCTTGAACTCAGGTCACCGGGCCTAGCAGCAAATGCCTTTCGCAGCTGAGCCCTTTTGCTGGCTCTCAGCTGTGTTTGCAGTATCAGTGTGGGCAGGGTCTGCAGCTCTGCACCTGACCAGACAGCACTGGGTCCAGGTCCCTGCATTTCACACTTTAACTGCCCTAGGCGTCACCTGAGGTCAAGGACGGCTCCATTTTACCTGGAAACAGAAATAACTCTGCCCAGCCTCTTCCCCACCCACCCACTTTCTCTGTATTGGGACTCACCACTGTCGTAACACCATTGTCTACCAAAACAATAATCAAATCAGTGGAGTTAGTGCAGCAGGGAGGGATTTATATGCTGGTTTGTTTGTTTTGTATTTTGAGACAGGGTCTGGCGACCTGGTCCGAGCTCGATAAGGCCTTAAACTCCCCACATACTTTAGACTGGCCCTGAATTCACAGCCTCCTCCAGCTCATGTCCTGAGTGCTGGCGATACAGGCCTGAGTCACCACATCAGCTATGCTGTGTCAGGTCCTGGAGTCTCCTTGCATGCCACCTCTAAGGTGGGATCAGTAGGATCAGTTTTCAGATGGGGACCATCCAGGAGCGGCCAACCTTTGACCCTGTCATGTGATGTCATCTACAAGGTTTACACGCAGAACTACACAGTTAAGTCACAGAAAGGATAGCAAAAGTCCGTGGCTTGGTGTTGGGCCACATTCGTGACTGTCCTCAGTCACACCAGGCCACAGACAGGGCTCAACTAGAATGAGGGGGAGATGCATCCGACCCTTAGTCCCTCTGCATGCAGTCCCAGTTTCTACCCAAAGGGGGCGCTCAGCCACAGCTGCTGCCTGGCCAACACCCTACACCTTCGACCCACTCTCGGACATTCCTGTGTGTGGTGGGGGCTGAGGACACATGGTCCTTTCTCACTGATGGGCCGTTGGGTAAGGACACCCAGAGTTTTGCTGCAGACCACCAGCCCTGGGCAGGGATGTCCCCAGGACTCAGAGCAGCAGCCTGTCCCCCACACATCTGCCTCCATCCGCCTGAGCTTCCCAGATGGCCGGCATCCTCAGAGATCACCTAAGGCCCCCTTTGCTGCCCCATCCTCTGGTGCCCTTCCTTGCCATGCATCTGGGGTATCCAATAAAAAGGCTCTCAGCTCTGAAAATGTCCACTTCCATTTTTCACTGAACATGTGATTTTTTAAAATTATAAAACTGATTAGGTTATTTTCAGAATGAAGCCTTAAGTAAGTGCTCCCTGTTTAAAATTCCCACCTGAGCAATCCGAGACTGTTCTCTGAGGAGACCCGGACCGGCCATGGCAGTGTTCTGAGAACACTGAGAGCTTGCCAGAGCTCCCCTTCCTCTGTGTGCTATCTCAACTGAGCTAGAGCCCCACCGTCCCACCTCGAGTACACTCACCCCCATAACCACCCATCCTTTTCTTAGTTAGGCGCCCCACTGTTTACTTTAGGGAGCAATGCTCCGGCTAAGAACCTATATTTTTAAGACTTACTTGTGGGGTCAGAGATGAAAGCCGATGTCACTCAGCTGACAGCACCCTTGTCCCTACTGCCCCCCCTTTCCAGTCTGGAATGAGAGTACAATGTTTGGAGTCATGGTGGCCATGCGATGACCATATAGCAACCCTGAAAACAGAAGGCATACCACATCCTAACTATGGTAGAACGGGAGGAGCCTGGGGAACTAAACACATGGTAGAGGACCACCATACGCCCATCCACTTCAGGTTTTCTGTAATATAGGAGATGAAGAAATGAGTTATTTAATGCAGTCATAGGGTAAGTGTCTCCTAAATGTGGCGAAGCTTGCTCCCTAGAATGGCACCATTGGAAGGGGGCCTTTTAGAGGCAGGACCTGGTGTCTTCCGGTTGCTGGAGGCATGTCTTTATGGGGGATACTGGGAACTCAAACTCCTTTCTCCTCTCCTTTCTTTCTGGTTCCAGGCAAGAACTGAAAGGCCTACCAGCTGATTCCACCACACTGTGTCCCTGGCCATGACCCAAAGCAATGGGGCCAACCAGCCATAGACTGGAGCCTCTGTGAACATGGACAGGAATAAGTTTGAATGACAACGAAAACATTATCACAATACACATAACAGTGGAGATAAAATAAGTCACATTGCTGGTAGGGAAGCAGTGCCAGCCTCTCTCTGTAGGTTCTACCAACTGCAGACCAAAATTACTTCAAAAATCCCATCTTTACTGAACTGTTTTTCTTTCATTCCCTAAGCAACATATTCAGCAACTATCTGTGCAGCAGCTGCACTGTGTAGGCATTCTAAGTGTGCTGGAGAGGCTCTGAGGAATGGATACATAAGTTATATTCAAATGCCAAACCATCTCAGATAAGGGACTTGGAGTCTCTAGGAACGTTAGCGTGCTCAATGGGTCCTGGCGGCAGCCATGTCTCCCGGAGACAGCAGGGATAACTGTATGTGAATGAATGAATGAGCATATGAATGAATGAATGAACAGCGAGTGAGAAGGAACAGATGTTCCTGTCTATAGTGTCATCATGGTGGAAACAAATACGCCACTTGACAAGCACAGCAACTGTTATTTTAAGTAAGAGGCACCAATGGAAACAAACATCCGTGGGAGGAAATATGATGAGAAACAGGATGCTTGCATAATGTCAGTGTCTCCTCATGAGATGCTTAACATGGCAAGGGGGACGGTGGTGACTTTATGGTGGAAAGCCTGGCAGACAGCACCTGACCAGGTGACCAGAGTTACCACAGCGGTAGTCTAACACATGGACTTCATGGACCATCTGCCATGAGACTCTGGAAGGATCAGCATCCACTATGATGTTCCAGTCAAGTGTCCAGCATGATCAGATACCAGCCAAAGCCAAATGTAAGGGCGTTCTACACACGAGCCACCCAGGAAGCACCTTTCAGACGAGCGAAGGCCTCTGAAGAGCCAGCTGTGGGGCCATCTCGGACCACAGACCTGGGCATCAGGGGCAGTCTGGCAGAGCTGCAGTGATGTCAGTAGCTCGTGCTAGTTTCCTGGTATTGATGACTGTCTTCACGTTCGGTGTTGGGGAAGATGATGAAGAGTGTCTGGGAACTGTTTGCACTGTCCACGCAGCATTCGCCTAGCTCCGTGTCCTGCTCAGGGTTATTATTGCTGAGATGAAAACCATGGCAAGGGCAACTTCGAGAGGAAAGGGTTATTAGCTTTATGTTCATCCCTGAAGGAAGTCAGGACAGGAACTCAACAAGTGCAGGAACCTGGGACAGGATGTAGAGGCCATGGAGGGGGAGCTGCTTACTGGCTTGTTTCCCATGGCTTGCTCAGCCTGCTTCCTTATAGAACCCAGGACCAGCAGGCCAGGGATGGCTCTCCCCCATCAGTCACTAATAAGAAAGTGCCCTATGGGTTTGCCTATACCTGGTCCTACGGAGGCACACTCTCAGCTGAGGCTCCCTCCTCTCCGGTGACTTGAGCTTGTGTTGACAAACAACTAATCGGCACGGTCTGAAATCAAAGCCCAGGTTCTCAGTCTTCCCACAGCCGCTTCCCAGAGTATGTCCTGTGTTGGCCTGCAGGGCTGCCGTGTCTGGGCCTCCTCTCATGAACCCAGCTGCATGGAGGCTGACCCTGTCTCCGCCTTCAAAGCACTCTGCAACCCACTTCACTTCTCACTATAATAAGAGATTGTTGGTTACTGAGTTGGCCACCCAAATCGCAGAAGTCACCACCACAGCCTCTCTTCTCGTCTCATTCTATGGCAGGCCCACTGGCAAGTCTTGTGAGCTTTGTCGTGTCTTCTCTTGCCATGACAGGACACCAGAGTCTGGGCATTTCATAAGGAAGAGAGGTTCATTTAGCTCACAGCTCTGAAGGCTAGAAAGCTCACCATTGGCCTTGTCCCATCTTCTGAGGACCCTTTAAGAGGTGGGACCCAATGTGGAGGTCATGTGGTTACTATGGGCATTGGGCATGCGCTCATGGGGGGCATTAGCACCCCAGCCCTTCTGAGCTCTCTGCTTCCCAGCTGCCATGAGGTGAGCAGCTTTTCTCCACCATACACTAACCATGATGCTCTGCCTCATCACAGGCCCAAAGGTGATGGGGGCCAAGTCTCTGAAACTGTGAACCCAAATAAGCCCTTCCTTCTTGTAGGTAGAAAAAGCTGACAAACACATGAACCCATGGATGGGACAACCTACTAAGGACCAAGCTTTCACGACACTGCACCACATGGATATTGTGACATGAGGCCTTGGTGGGGACAGTCAAATCAAGCAGGGGTCTTATAGACTTTATTACCAACCAGGCCACTTCCCACCACTCCTCTGCCAGTGCTCTTGTCACATCATTTCTATGTGCATATGACCCTTGCCCTCCTGAATGTTTTCATCTTCTCAGCTTTCAAGGCTTTTTGCTGGAGCAGCCTGAGGAGAACCCCAAAGAGGACGTCAGTCCCATGTCATTGGCACAGGCATGGCCCAGCATGGCCCACGGCCGTTGCTGGTGCCCGAGCCTCTAAGTCCCAACTGCCCTCCTGAGAGCACAATTGGCCACGACCTGCCCAGTGCCTTCCACTCTCATTGGCACCTCTGTCTGATGGAAGAAAGGGAATAGGAAGGTTCTGCAGGGCCATTTCCAGGGAACTTGCTCTGGCCTAACCCTGAGTGACCACAGACTCATGCAGTCACCCCCAGAGAAGCTGAGCCACCGCTCACGCCTCTTACTTCCTGATTTGATACTAAGTACAGACCGAGCTTCCTACAGATGCACGTACCAAGAAACCAAAAAGGCTAAAAATACCCATTCCTCACACCTAATGCTTTCTTCTAAATTTACAGCTCATGAAACTAGAAATTCTGTCAGCCTGCGGTAACAAGGGGACTAAAAGATGGAACTTACCTGAGACACCAGGGGTCCAGCGGCAGTGTGCCACGCTGTCTGAGATGCCTCTCCTGCTGGGCCTGGCCACTACTCAAAGGAACAGGAATTGAAGCATGTCTCCCCCAGCTATTGCCTGGCATCCAGTCTGATACATGATGAGAAAAACCTGCTCCCCAAAACGTCAATCCAGGCACGTCTGAACCATTAATTCCTGCTTATTCCTTCACTTAAAGATAGTCAGCAGGCATCCACCAAGTGCCAGATGAAAACTTGGCCTCCCAGGAGCTTGTGTTCTGTCAGAAAGACAATAAAGTAAAAGGTATACAGCATGGTTGACTGGAGTTAAGTGTTACCAACAAAAAGAGGGGAAAAATTGGGTGGGGATGTAAAGAAAATCCTCCTGAATAAACCCACAGGAGAAGCTGCACCGTGCAGACACCAAGAAGACATGTTCTAAGCAGAGAGGAGACTGTCCAGGCTGGGAAGTAGGGGCGGATCTGGAGTTCTTTAGGCCCCTGTGGCTGGTGGCAGCGAGACACCCTGTTTGGGGAGCCACACGGGCACTGCGAGGATGCCAACTCTTACTGTGAACTGAACTGAGACATGAGACCATCGGAAGGCTGAGAGCTGAGTTTTGACTTCCCAGAAGATCAGGCTGCCGAGGTAGTTCCTCAGATTACAGAAACACAGGAAGAAGTAGGGATGCATTAAAGGTACCACAAAGCAGGCGAGGGCTAGCTGTGGCTTACAGCAGAACGGCGGGCAGGGAAATGTCCTGAGCTTCAAAGAAACAGAAGTCAACTGTGGCTCCAAGTGTGTGCCCTAAGCAATGGTGGCACTGCCATCACTCACTGTAGGAGGAGAAGAGATGGAGGACTGGTTTTTGACCTATGAGGATGGTGATCCTCTCAGACATCCCTACAAGGAGCCAGTGGGTAGCAGACAGCAAGTGAGCTCAGTAGGGGTCTGGGCTGCAGTGGCCCATGTAGCTCTTGCTGACTCAAAGGTAGACTTGGTGAATCCACCAAGATGGTGGTGGAGAGGGAAGGCCAACGCCAAGCCCCGGACACAGCTATACTCCGACAGCAGAGGAACAAGGGCCAGCCTGGAAGCTGCCTCTGACTGTGACTGCGTGGCAAAGCTCCAGGCATAGATTTGCAGCTCCCATGCTAATATGCAACATTCTACTTTACAGCCCTGGAATTGTGACACAAGGCAATGGGGCCAAGGAGAATTACAAGAATCCAGAAGGGCAGAGGCTACTGAGGAGAGCAGGAACCCTGTGACGTTTTGAACAAAGAGGGAGAGCTCACGCCCATGAAGACAGCAGAGATGACATTTAGAATGAGGAAACAGCTTGCACAAGGGTCTGGAGATGAAATTCCCAGGAGGAGGAAGCTGAAGGGCAGAGGGTAGGAGACAGCAAGCCATTCTTTCTGCTGGCTCCATAAAGGGGCGATGTAGATGCAAAGCTTGGAAGCAGACCATGGAAGACTCTCTACCAGAGCAAACCCACAGTTTTGAGGATCTCCATAGGGGTGACCTTGCATTTGGGGAGCAGCAGGACCTAGGGCTTCTTACTTGGGCTTGGCACTCCCAAGATTCCCACGATTTGTCTTCGGGATCATGTCAGTAGCCCCAGCGTATGAATGGACTTAAAGTCACTTGTTCACGTCAAGCTTTAAGAAGAGGGTGAGGCTGGTGCAGCGGCCTGGAAATGGAAGACTGCAAGTGGAGGAGCAGGTTGATGAAAGGAGTCAAGGGCACCATGATGGAAGGGTGGGACCGGAAGAGAGGAGCAAAGACAGGGTTGGGGTCCAGAGCTTGAGGAGGGGGTGGAAGAGTTACCAGGAAAGGAAAGTTACCTCTGCAATCAGGATGGCACTCCTCAGCTATACCAGTCTCCCCAAAGCCAACCCAGGCCCCAATGTAAGGCACTTTGAAACTGCTGCGAGCAGAACAGAGACACATGGGATTTAGCCACAGGGCCAGGTTAGTGACAACAATAAGGGCTCTGGACTGTCTCTGGGCCCAGCCAGGCCCACGTCCCAACTGTTTCCACATATCCAGGCCCCAAAGGGAGCTGGTGGTGTTGGTCCACAGCACAGTTCTCACTCCAAAGGGAACAAATTCTGAGCCCAGTATGATGGCCAGAGCCTGGAAACATGGATTCAGAGGTCCCAAATGACCTGTTCTACTGTAGACATGATTACATGAACATGTTTTGTTTGCATTGGGGGGACAGGATCTCATGTAGCCCAGGCTGTCTTTGAACTCGGAATGGACCTGAGGATAACTCTAAACTCCTCCTCTCTCTACCTTTCATGTGTTGGGTTTCATGCATGCTAGGGGAACACTTCACCCACTGAGCCCTATCCCCAGCCCTACATGGACTGTTATAGCCACAGATCAAAGTTTGTCATAAATCATTATTACCACGTACACTGATGGGGACAACAGGTAGGAAGGATTCAGCAAAGGAGGGAATATCTGGTGGGGGGACACATTCCATTGAGGTTTCAGTGGGCTTGGTGGAAGCTGGTGTTCTGCTGACACATCCCAAAGGTTTGTGTTATGAGAAGGATGTTAGTCGGACTACTGAGGAGTTCAGACAGCCCCAATGACTCTGACTCTGGAGCTGAGACATTTCAACTCTCTGCAATCAGGATGTTTTAATCAGTGAGTCTGCAGAATTTTTATGGACATAGCATTCTAGGGGCCAGAGGGACAAAATTCTCAGCTGAAAGTAACTTATCTCTTAAAAGCCCTGAAGAAGGACACTTAAAAGAAACCCGAGATAGTTTGAAAAGGAATTCTAGACACAAAATAATACAGAGTTTAACACAGTTCCTTGCTGTTTGCTGGCAGCGTACCACAGCTCCTTTAAGAGAGGTTTCCCTGATTCAGCTGTAGCAGAAAAAAAGCTGCATGGTTTTAAAAGCGGCTTCCTGAGCCATGCTGCCAGTGCAAACTCTGGCTATGGAGCATTTCAGTGGCATTTGTGGGCCCAGGTGTTTGTGTGCCTACTCCGGGTTGGGAGGAAAGTATAGACAGTCATAGATTAAGGGGAGTAAAAAAAAGTAAGACACATAAAGATTGACCATAGAATAAGAGTCTGGATTATGTATATTATTGTGTTATCTTTGAATTTTTTGACTGTGAATGAGCTAACTACAGAGAGACATTTCATTGTATGAACTGCTAAGTTAAACCACCATGTATATTATAAAGGTATCTTGACTTCAGAATTTGGGCCTAAGGATATGGTGCTTTGGAAAAGAGGTTCTTCTTTTGTTTTCACAGAAGATGAGAACCCACTGATTGCTTCTAGACTAATATGTTTTCATGGAACAAAACCCCCTGAAAGGTTGCTGTGAACACCCTCAAAAAATTACTTCACCCAACTGCTGACTAAGATGAACCTAGCACACCTGATTAACAGTGACCCCAAACAGCAGGAATCAATATGAACAAATATACGCCCATATCCCCAAATATTGTCTGTAATGTTTGTTTACATTTAAAGGGGAATATGATATAGATATGAATAATTTGCATTGGTATGGATCTTGGTTTATTGATACAAATTTGAGGACAATTTTGTTATATGTATATGTATTTCTGATCTTGATTAAGGTATTGTGTTTGTTTAGCTCATTTAAAATGTAATGTATAATTAAGAAATGTAAGTTAATAGATACTCATCAGTAATAGTTAAGCTTGTAGTCATATTAATTAGATTTTCTAGATGTATAGAGATATATTTCAGTTAGGTATTCTTCAAATCTTTCAGAGACCTTCAGAATATGGCATTTTAAATGTTTAATAACTTAGGACCTATCATGACAATGAGACACATCTGCTCCTGGCAGCACCACTTACTTTGAGACGAAGATGGGCATCCGAGAGGCTCCTTAGCCATTTGGGCAAGAAACTGCTCTTGTCTGGATTGCTTCATGATATGCTGTAAAAACTGAACATGCAGAACCCACAGAGAAATGACTGCTAAGCTTGCCTAAACATGAGACAATCCTTCAGGGTTCCTGCTTCATGAAAGAGTCTGTGAGACATTCTGCAGGACACACACACACACAAAAATGTGACGGACAAACTGCCAGTATAGGTGGAACTGTCTTTGACATTTCCTGCTTCATGGAAAAGTCTGCTGGATACTATGGGCCTATGGGCTGAAGATGGATGCCCCAACGGTGCAGAACTTTGGGTGACTGTCCAGGTAGCGAAATGTCTCTGTCAATTCTAGAGTTTTGAAAATTGCTTACAATGTATTTCCTGTTTACTTATGTAATATTATATCTTTCTGGAGTCTTTGTTGGAGTTGAAGAATAGATAGTCATAATATAGTTTTCCTTAGTTATGATAAAAGATAAAGTAGATATTGTAATTATAATTCTTTCTTGATAACTGTTTTGTTATATGTCATCTTACTATGTTAGAGTTAAAGCCTTCCTTTTTGTTTAAACAGAAAAGGGGAAATGGTGTGGGAGGTCCTTCTGTTTGTATGTTGCTTTTTTTGGTTAATGAATAAAGAAACTGCCTTGGCCTGTTGATAGGGCAGAACTTAGGTAGGCAGGGAAGAAGGAACTGAATTCTGGGAGGAAGAAGGGCTGAGTCAGAGCAAGATGCCATGGAACCACTGCAGCCAGAGATAGACGTGCCGAAACTTTGATGGTAGGCCACAACCTCGTAATGATGCACAGATTAATGGAGATGGGTTAAATTAAGATGTAAGAGTTAGCCAATAAGAAGTTAGAGCTAATGGACCAAGCAGTAATTTAATTGATACTGTTTTGTGTGATTTATTTTGGTTGTAAGCTAGATAGGCAGCTAGGAACTGGGCAGCAGGACGAACAAGCAGCCTTCCTGTTACAGAGCCCTGGGAGCTTCCTTTCTTTCATGAATTCTGTACCTTTTGTTCATGCCGGCATCATCATCTTCATGATTCTGGGTCTCTCTACACAGCCCTGATTATGCTAGAACTAAGTACACCAGGCTGGCCTTGAACTCACAGAAATTTGCCTGTCTCTAACTACCTAGTGCCAGGATTAAAGGTGTGTGCTATACCATGTCCGATTACATTGTTGTTCCTAACCAAAATTATAAAGGGAACAGGTGGTCATTGTGGACAATTGGAAACATGTAGAAAAGACAAAGTTAAGTTTAGTTTAAGTCTCGTCTCCAGAACTGTGGCTAGCATCTAGAGACGTCTCCCATTCACTCCACTTGATAAACACTTATGCACTCATTTAGACTAGAAGCTCCACACTGGGCCCCA